TACTCTGCAGTAGCAGTAGCAGCAGCAGCAGCAGCAGCAGGAGGAGGAGGAGGAGTAGTAGTAGTAGTGGTAGTAGTAGTAGTAGTAGTAGTAGTGGTGGTGGTGGTGGTGGTGCTAGTGGTAGTAGTGGTAACCGGCAATGGTCCATGGTTGTCTTCCTCAGTCTTCCTTTGACCTTGACTTGCAGCTACCAGGCATGCTGCACCACATGTAGGATTCGGACTGCAGGGGTTGACGTCCTGATTGGATGTTTCTAGATGAGCTCCCCACTGTGCAAAGAGCTTGCTCGCACACACACCTACGGACTCACTTCTGAGTCTTAGTTTCATTGACAGGTCCATCGTTGCACTCCACTTTGCAATACAGCTGCAGTGCAGCAGCGTGGAAGCAGGGGTCTGACATGTGGTTGCTTGAGACAATTGGGCAGCTTGGTCAGGCCAGCGATCCGGAATGGGCGGCATGGGAGGTGCTCTGGGAGGGGTCGGAGCTGGCGGCTGCGGAGGCGGGATTGGAAATATGGTTGGTGCTGGGCTCCTGGAAGCTGCGGCAGGCCAGGACTCTTTACAGATGGCTCTTCGCCATGTCTGAGCCATAGCTGCAAGGTGGACCGTGGACGAGTCATCCAGCCCCGGGATGCTACCCCGATTCTGCATTACCAAATGCCTGAGCCTGAGCGGCCCCTGCACTGACCTTCCATGAGTCTACCTCTAGCGGTTCCTTTTCGGGCACTTGCAAGTCGCTCCACTCATACTTGCAATTCGTTTCGCTCGACCTACATATCCGCAGAGGGTTGCTCACCACCAGGCCTCTGGCAGATGCTCGTCCACTTCAGTCATTCCCTGCTGTATCACACGCGGCTAGTGACTATGCTGTTGCAATTCTCTGGGAAAACTTCAATATGTCAAGAGTAGTCCTCTCCAGGACATGTCAAGAGGTTGTGTCCAGGCTTAGCACTGATTGCAATTCGGGTTTCACCTTGTTGTTCGTTGCTGGTAGCGTGTTCTGGCCCTGGAGCACAAAACTTCAGCTCAAGAATAAGTCGGATGCTGTCAGCTGCAACATTCCCCCTACTTTTACAGTCTTGGAACTTAAGGTGTGATTCTGGTGGTGCCAATCTTCGAGGTTTGAGAACGCAGCCGACAATACTTCAGCATGCTGTGGAGCGAAGCATGCTGCGATGGCCTCCCATCCACACTTTCGTCTCCAACCCTGGAACTCGAGGATCGGAATGCAGAAGCGCCTGTTCAAGTTAGCCATCACAGCCCCCTGTTGATTCGTTCTACGTGTTCGTTCGTCCTGTCATTTTCTCTTTCTCTCGGCCTCCATAACCCAGAAGCATTCACAGCTTCACTTCGGATGTTTAAACTCACTCTTCGCAACCCGATTGATTAACAGGAACTGCGCTGTGGGAATTGATGAGGCCTTGAGACCAAAGCTTTCATAAGAGCGCAGTGGGTGGGAACAATCAGACGTGGAAACGGAAGAGGCGGCGCTGCTCCCTAAATCAGGAACTGCGAGGTGCTGCAAACGATGTTTGGCTCAGGCATAGCTTTAGGTGTCTAAACTGTAAATTAAAACAGAAGTAGAATATGAAATATGACATGTCAAGATCCTTCCTTCGTGCCTCTTGTCTGTGGTTGAAGCCTTTGCCGTTTTTTTGCATGTTTCTTTTGCTGGGCCGGGCTAGAAAGGCTGTGAGCATCATTTGGAGGCTTCAGCATTTAAGCCTCGGAAGCCTGTGATACAATGACATGCCTCCTTCCCATTCATATTCGTCTCGGCCACCTCACGGAGGAAGGCTCAAAGATAGTTTAGGGGCTCAGGCCTAGGCATCAGCCCAGCCAGAAACCAGAGCCCAGACAAAGCCGTGCTGTCGTGTTTGAATGTGTGTGTGTGTGTGTTTTGTGTGTGTGTGTGTGTCTGTCTGTCTCTCTCTGTGTGTGTGTGTGTCTGTCTGTCTCTCTCTCTGTGTGTGTGTGTCTGTCTGTCTGTCTCTCTCTCTCTCTCTCTCTCTGTGTGTCTGTCTGTCTCTCTCTGTGTGTGTGTGTGTCTGTCTGTCTCTTGGTGTGTGTGTGTGTCTGTCTGTCTGTCTCTCTGTGTGTGTGTGTGTCTGTCTGTCTGTCTCTCTGTGTGTGTGTGTGTCTGTCTGTCTCTCTGTGTGTGTGTGTCTGTCTGTCTCTGTGTGTGTGTGTGTCTGTCTGTCTCTCTCTCTCTCTGTGTGTGTGTGTGTCTGTCTGTCTGTCTCTCTGTGTGTGTGTGTTTTTGTGTTTGTGTGTTTCGTTTTAAAATGAAATTCCATGGGAAAGTCGGGTACTTACATTGCTTGGAGCGCACCATGCCGAAAGTCAGCCGAAAAAGGTACTTTCGGGGAGTTGTGGTTCGAGCTTTGCCCACCTTACCACTGAACCAGTGACTTGGAGGCTTGCGGACATCGGAGTTGAATCAACTTCGAAGACAGGCGATAGATTCTTGTCGACTTACTGTCGATTCGATCTCTTTGAACTAGGATGCGGCGCTAGTTTGAGATTTGTTTGGAATGCGAGAACTTCTTGTGTCCTGCGCCTTAAACAGGAGGATGAAACGCAATGCCAAGTTGAACCCGCTTTTGCGAAAAGGATCTTGGTTTCGAGCAGATCGCGCATGCCCAGACATTCCGCAGACGCGGGGGGACCTGAGAAGACTTGAACAGGAACATGGAACGGGGACAAGATCAGGTTGCGACGGAAGTGCCGTCTTGTGCGCAGAAGGCCTTGTCACATGAGCTAATCTTGCCGACCTTTGGGACAACTGCTGTTTGTTGGGGGATGTCGTGTAGTCTCCGGTTGGGGTAATTTCTTCCGTGGCAAACCGGCTCCTTCATGAATCAACATTACACTGTCGGAGTCGCCGTAGCGCTTCAACATTCTCTGGGTTTTTTGTGCCTTTGCGCGACATGTCCTGCAACAGCATGAACATCGGAACGTTCACTCGTCATGCAGAAGTATTGTGAGAGCGTACTTGTGAAGCCTCGGCTGGTGTTTTCCGAGTACGGCACTCGCAAGAAGACGTTGGGTAACATTGTCCGACGGCACAAACTTCCGGCGGCTTGAAGTCTCTGGTGGCGACACCCACACGCAAAACAGGGAAGCCGACAGTTTGACATGACCGTCTTCGCTTTGTCAGCCAGTAGTCGCACGAACGGGCTACTTAGCACTGAGGCCGGCGTCGTCGAGCCAGCAAATACTGCACCGGGACTTTTCAGCTTCTTTGGTGGAAACCAGGCACCATACCGTGACGAGGCGGGTCTTCGCCAGATTTCCTTCCCCTCCGTCCCCTAAATCATAGCATTGCTTCATCGTTACGGATTTCGTCTTCGTTTACGGAGCATGACTTGCAGCAAGGCGACAAACGGCTATCCAACTGGCCAAACGGACGACGATCCGGATGCTTGCGGTGAAGACGATGAGTACGGATCTGAGAATGAAGCCGATGACTATTTCGACGACGAAGACGATTTCGATGATTATGACGATGACGACTACTGAATGCCCACATGTTCTCGCCGGTCTAGTACAGTTTAGTAGTGAGTCCAGTCTTTGTTAGTAGAGCTGACTGGGTCTTTTGAAGTCCAGGTGCACTCGCCCAACCTTCGGCATTCGCAGGAGCAACATGTGCAAAACCCTGGTCTTAGTGACACTTATGCAAGGCCCCGAACGGTACACCGGAGTTGAGCTGATGCACCTCTCCGACCCGGGCAAGTGTCAGAATGAAGGTCTGACAAGGCTATGCTTGCGGTCGGTTTTTCCAAAACTGCGTGGCTTCGTGCCACAGACCGCCAAAGACTCCGACTTGATAGAGAAAAGAAGCAACAGCTGACTTATAGTTTGCTTTGCGGTTTAAGGTCGCGCTGCTGTGGAATCGAGGAACTTCTCATGTTTCTTCACTATTTCCCGAAGTGGACAAACGAACCTTATCGATACGGTCATGATCTAAGCCCTTCTGGTTACCATGCTCCTTGTCTGCATAGATAGAAGCATTTGCCGGAGAAGCTTGCGGCTCCCAGATTGACGGTAGAAAGGGATTGGCATCTCGGCCGGCCCTGCCAATCCCTGTTCCTGCTGGAGTGGGCTTTGCGCTCGTGCATACAGCTGCATGGGAAAAGCTCTGAGGTCAGTATTTTGGACCTAAGGCCGATGATTTCGTGTCTCGAACTCGAGTTTTGCAGCCTGCCACGTTTCTGTCGGCATTCGCTGAGCCCCAGGAGCAGAGGCAAGAGATGTTTTTCGTGGGGACGGGACAAGACCAGAGAAAAACGGGTGAATGGAGGCGGAGGCTTCGCAGGTGAGGAAGTGAGGTAAAGGATTGAATTCTGATTAGATGTGCTGGTGTAGAGATACATTGCTCCAGTATGGCAAAAAGACGGAAGTAATGAAAGGAACCCCCAAGCCAGTGAAGCACATTCTGCTAAGTATTTCCCGACAGGCCGACAGCCATGTTTCGTGTTTCAAGCCCTGGACACAGAGAGGAACACCAGAGCAATGGCTAGAAGGATTATCTCAGGGATGGAGATTTCATTGCTTGAAGTGCTTGTTTGTTTTGTTTCGGAACGGTGCCACAAGTCGACAAATCGACAGCCGGCAGATCGGGAACCATGCATCGTGATGCTTTGAGTGGAATCAGGAACGCCGCATTCTAAAGTCCCAAGCCCGATTGCTCCGGATTGGATTTCATTTCGTTCCATCTTGCTGATATCGGGCAAGAGTTTCCGAGCTGGTGTCAATATGAAGCTGTTGGAGGCCCAGTGCACAGTTGGGCCCACTGCTCCACGAAAGTTTTGTTTTGAGAATATCCTGCTGCATTATGCGCTCAAGGAGCGACTAGTGGTGCTTCTGGCGTGCTTTTATTTTCATCAGTTGTTGAAATTCGATTTGTAAAAATCTTGAAAACTCCTTATATAGCTCACTAGCTTCATAGAAGGTGGAGGAATGTCGCATTGATGAATATTATGTATACAGTAGCGTTTCGTTATTCAATTAGTTTGAATCAAGTAAGTTGGAATCCTCGCAACCAGGCTTGCCTAATCCACAGTGACGCGTGTGCATTTGAGTGCCGAACTGCAGACGTTGACCAACCTTGACATTTGAGAATTTGTTGGAGTTGCACTCTTTCGCGCACTTCTGGGATTGTAGACTACTAGTGTACGATACTCACAGCATGGCATACTTGCAACTATGATTTGCATACTCGGTTTTGCATGCCAGAATAGATTTATCTGTGTGTGTGTGTATATATATATATACATATACATGTACACACGATGTGAGTATAGGAGTCCAAAGTGATAGCCGGTTCTGTCGTTGGCGACCGAGGATGCAGCTCCTGCGGCTCACAAAGACTGCAGTTTTCCATTATTATGGGTTCTTCTGCACTGTATGCTCTAGCATGGGGTCTCGGAGAGTTGGAATTTTGCTTGCCAGACAGCAGGCCAGAGCTAGTTGATTATGTAAGGATTCCTACCTGCGTGGGAACTCTGGCCTTTTCTCTAAGAACCAGCTGTAAGCAGTTACAACTGTGTTGTCAACGTCCCAACAGTGATGCATCTGCACGGGAGTGAGCTCTGCCTAGAGTTGATGAAAAACTCGACAAGCGGTCCTACCACCTGCTTGTGCGACAATACTGTAAGGAAAGGTAAGGAATGCATAAGATCCTGTGGGTACTCCGGTCACGCGTTTTGACATTCGCTACAGGTACTGACAAAGTAGCCGCCAGCCACGAGGCTCAAAACGGACAGCCACAAAGGGATCAACCGCACACGAAAGCCCTGACTCGTGAGTGGAACAACACTGGCCTCTAGTCGACTTGATTGTTGAGCTCCGGCAGTGTTTTCCACCGCTCCGATCCTCTCGGGGCACCAACCGCCGATGGAAGTGGTCGCCAACGAGCTGGACATTCAACGTCCCTGAAATCCCCGTACCACACTTTCCAGAAAAGAAACACCGGTTTGAAGGCTCTGTCAGAAGTCTTCGTGTCTCTCCTTTAGACGATCAGATCATGTTGGAGGCAAATCAGGCATGCCATACATTAGAGCCTATGTTTGAAAGGCTCCTTGATATGCTGTTGCTTCGCAGACTTGACACTCACAGAAACTGCCCGTCGGAGCAAACTCCCTCTAAGTTTGTTTGGGCAGCCTTAGCGTATACCCTTGACTCATGTACCCCAACATCACAGGCGTTTATTTGCGGTGTTTTCGTAGTTTTGCAGCATGGAACCCCAAGTTTTGGTTGTGGTCAAGACAACCCGAAGCCACACCTTGCCTAGCTTGTCCGAAGAGCCTAAAATTTGTTATGGCCAGCTCCCGTGCAGGACATGGAACGCGAGCTGGAGTCGGACATGGCTGCAGAGCCGGAAGAGCGTGCCATCGTAAGGCGACGTTGCAGCAGCCGTTCCAGCAGCAAGGGAAGCAGCTCGCCGGAGAGGATTACTTCTGCATGTGATACACGTTTGCCCCGAGATCAGCATCTCTGCGTCTCGCTCTCCAACTCCAACAGTTATTCCCATTATTCCCCAAGTAGGAGCAGGAAAGCACGAAGTCGGTCATGGTTTGGGTCTGTGTTCTTTGCAATGTTTCGCCGATTGCGTAGCAGGAATTCGGGTTCGGGATTTGCCATTTATCTCCGTCTGGGACACAATTCGCAAGCTGCCCCAGAGTATGTTGAAAGGAAGGACATGCTGATCCTTACAAGTCCAGATCTCAAATGATTACAGAAGTCGGAGATGCAGACCGAGATCTTTATGATGTTCCTAGTATACGATACGCGTGAGGCTGTGACAGATTTACGAACCGTGTCACATATATGTCACTCTAGTGTGTGTTTTTGTATGTGCGTGTGGGTGTGTGTGTGTGTCCTACATTGGTCTGCCTTTTCGCACTGCAGGGGAAGATTTCAGGTTAGGCACAGGTACCTGTGCCAACAAAGCTATCCACCATGGGGGACGCGGAGACTGATCACCCCCGTGTACTTGCGTGAATACTTGTGACATCTTGAACGTAACAATGCAGCTAAAATTCCCTCTGTGCATTGATTATCCTCACTGTTATTTCTTGAACAGCTTGCAGCAGCCGTGGCTTTTGTGAAACAACGAACAACAACCCCGCCTCACCCCTCTTCTCTGCTTGCCTCTTGCTCCTGCCGAAATCCCACAAGTGTGTGTGTGTGTG